ACACAGGATAACGTCACATTTATTTATTTATGGATTTATTTCTTTATGTATTTATGTATTTATTGGCAATCCTGGGGTTTGAACTCAGGGCCTCATGCTTGCTAGGCAGGTTCTCTACCACTTGAGCCACTCATCCATTGGCAAGTGCTTTCTGACATCTAATGGTAGAGGGTTCCAAGGTTCAGTCCTTGAAGTATTGTATTATCTACTTTCACTTTCTAGGTTAGGAAGAGGAGGAAGACCCAGCAAAGAAGATAGAGAACTTATGTTCAATGAAGCAAAAGGAAAACCAAGACAGAGGGTGTTCTAAAAGAGAGGCAAAGAAAGACTTTGAAAAAAACAGACACAGAGACAAATGCATCTGGAAGGGCAAGAAAAATGAGGCCTTAGAATTGGCCAGGGATTTCATGACATATACAAGTTTTTGGACAACCTTGACAAATTTCTCTCAAATGATAGAGAATAAAGCTGATATATAGTACATTGAATAGAATGGGAGAAGCTTCTAGAGACTACTAATGTTATACCAAAGGGCTCAAGGGCCAACCTCAACAGGCTCTTAATGTCATCATCAGCAAGGATAATAACCCAATGGATCAGAACACATTGAATAGATTTAAATCCATGATGTCACATTTTTAAAAATATGAATTGATCATCACTGGAAGATGATCAGGAACCAATCCATTACTTTGAAAACTCTAGCTAAGGAAAAAGTAACAAACATTTGTTCTGCCTGATTTATATGAATTATGTATCAAAGTAACTTATAAGCAAGGGAAAAAAATTTATATTTAAAAAAATATAGGGCTAGGGATGTAGCTACAGTGCTTGCCTAGTGTGCACACGACCCTGGGTCCAGCCAGGTGTGGTGGTACACACCCAGCACTTAAGAGGCTAAGGCAGCAGGATTGCAAGTTTGAAGCCATCCTGGGCTAAATGGAAAGCCCCTATATAAAAAATAAAATAAATAAAATAAGACCCTGGGTCCAATCCCCAGCAACACAAATAAATAGATATATATAAATAAAATATGTTTAAAATATATCTTGAAGGACACACACTGCCTTTAAGAAGGAGAATGGAATGTAAGACACCACAGTATATCCCTTTGTAACTTTTATATTTTGTTCACATTTTATGTGATCATCTCTGCCTTGCTACTCAGGAAGCAGAGATGGGAAGGATCAAGGTTCCAAACCAGCCAGAGCAAACAAATAGTGCCCCATCTCAACCAATAAAAAGCTGGGCATGTGGTTCACACTTGACATCGAAGCTACTCAGGAATTATAAATAGGAGAATCACAGTCTGGTCCAATTCAGGCATGGGGGTGAGACCGTATTTGGAAAATAACTAAGCTGGGCACTGGTGGCTCACATCTGTAATACTAGCTATCAGGAGGCAGAGATTAGGAGGATCGAGGTTCAAAGTCAGCCCAGGCAAATAGTTCTACAAGACCCTATCTCAAAAAATCTCTCACAAAAATAGAGCTCGTGGAGTGGCTGAGTGCAAACCCCAGCACTGCAACAACAACAACAAAAAAAAAAAAGAAAGAAAGAAAAATAACTAAAAGCAAAAAAGGGTTGGGGACATGGCTCAAGTAGTAGAGTGCCTGCGTGTATGCTTGTTATTACAGCACTTGGGAGGTGAAAACAAGAGGATGGCAAGATCAAGGCTTGCCTGAGTTACACAGTGATACAGTCTCAAAAAAAATAAAAGATCTGGCAGAGTGGCTCAAGTGGTAGAGTGCCTGCCTATCAAGTGTGAAGCCCAGAGTTCAAACTCAATTACTGCAAAAAAAAAAAAGGAAAGTAAAGAAGGTGGAGGGGAGTGGCAGGAAAAACAGAGAAAAAGTTTTTGCACCATCTGTATTTCTCTGTAGCTTTTACCAAGCAGGCCCAGTTCTACCTTCTACCACTACACAACTCTGGAGAGTTTTAGCTGTCTCTCTTTTCCTACTAGTTTTCTTTACTCCAGCTAAATGTCTGTAGGTCTTCTCATTGTTCTTCGAGTGACTTAACTAACAATACCTCCTGTGTTGCCCTAGCCTCTTTTGACTGTACCTCACCCAATCTGTCAATGTGTGTAGCCTAGAACTAAATATCAGATTACAAGTGCAGCTATCCTGTTAGCACATCGGGGACACTATGTCTGTTCATGGAGGCAAAGAGTAAGTTAAATGACCCAGCAATTCTAGTCCTGAGCATGTAACCGAAAATACAAGTCCCCACCAAAACTTGTAGATAAAATGTAATGTTTAGAGTAGAATTATTCATCATAGCCAAGAGATGGAAACAACCCAAGTGTCCAGCAGTGGAAGAAATGGTAAACAAGACATAGTATATCCAAGCTGTGGGACATTGTTCAGTCATAAAAAGAATGGAGTACTGGTACTTGCCACAGTTCGAATAAAACTGAAAATATTATGGTACGTTAAATAAGCCTGTTGCAAAAGATCACTGTTTTTTGTTTGTTTGTTTTGAGACAGAGTCACTCTATAGCCCGAGTTGGCCTTGAACTCATCATGATCCTCCTGCCTCAGCTTTCTCAGTGCTGGGAATGCAGGTGTGCTCCACCATGAGCAGCCTAAAGAAAGTTATTTTTATACCACCAAAAATTGCTCCTCCAAACTAGGATGTGTAGAACTTTGAGATAATCAGTCCAAAGATATTTCGAGTCTGTTTCTAGACTTTTTCAAGACACTTAAATGACTACCAAAGGCTCCTTTACAACAGATTTATATCACTGGGTTGGATCTCCAGCAACATGCAATACGCAAAAGTAAATAAACGTTTTTTTGGCCAGTATCATCACAATGTCCATCACGTTGGACATGACTTGTCTTTCTACAGTTTTTTTTTGTGTGTGTGTGTGTGATATTAGAATTTGAACTCAGGGTCTTCACGCTTGCCAGGCTGACACTCTACCACTTGAGTCATGTCGCCAGCCCTAAAAAAACCCAAACACTTAAGGACTGAAGAGAGGTGTGCACTGAGTGTCAGTCATCTCTCAGGAGCATCGCTTTGGTTCCTGGCTCCTGTGGCTCCCCCAACATGACCTTCAATTTTGGGGCTCCCTTAGGCTCCTCCAGCACTGCTGAAGCCACCGAAGCAGCTATGGGTGGGTTTGGAGGATTTGAGACATCTGCAACTGCAGATGCTTTCAGTTTTTCTGCCCCAGTAAACACAGGTGCTACTGGACTCTTCAATGGTACTTAGAAGAAAGGTTTTGGATTTGGTACTGGTTTTGGCACAGCAACAGGAACAACTAGTGCTAGTGTAGGTACTGGTTTGGGAACTGGTCTGGGATTTGGAGGATTTACTACACAGCAGCAGCAAACTGGGTTGGGTGGTCTGTCTAGTCAGCCTACCAAAGCTCCTACCCAGTCCAACCAGCTGATAACACTGCTAGCACTCTCTGCTCCAACACTATTGGGAGATGAGAGAGATGCTATCTTGGCAAAATGGAATCAACTGTAGGCTTTTTGGGGAAGAGGAAAAGGATATTTCAACAATATTCCTCCAGTGGAATTTACACAAGAAAATTTCTTTTGCTGATTTAAGGCGCTAGGTTAAAGTTGTATACCCAATAATAAAAATGAAGATGGGCTAATGGTTTTAGTTTTCAACAAAAAAGAAACAAGCCCGGTGCCAGTGGCTCATGCCTATAATCCTAGCTTCTTAAGAGGCAGAGATCAGGAGGGTCACAGCTCAAAGCCAGCCTGGGCAAATAGTTCCTAAGACCCTATCTTGAAAAAACCCACCACAAAAAAGGGCTGGTGGAGTGGCTCAAAGTATAGTTCCTGAATTCAAATCCCAGTACTGCAAAAAAAACCAAACCAAAACAAAAGAAACAGATATTCCAAGCCAACAACAGCAGTTGGTGGAATCACTGCATAAAGTTTTGGAAGGAAACCAGATCCTTACTGTAAATGCAGAGGGCATTCAAACATTGCCAGATGATCAGGCAGAACTTGTCATTTACATTCTTCAGTGTTCTCCAGATGGTACCTCCAGAAGAGTATATGCGCATTTTGAACAAGCCAATGTAAAAACATCATTGCAGCAACTTGGTGCAACACTTTCTATGACTAGAACAGAACTTTCTCTGGCACAGATCAAACAGATTTTACAGCATCCTCCTGCTGGTGTCAATCCTATTATTTGGGAACAAGCCAAGGTAGATAACCCTGATTCTGAAAAGCTAACTCCTGTTCCAATGGTGGGTTTCAAAGAACTCTGAAGACTAAAAAGTTCAAGATTAGATAGATGACTAAACAGCATCAGACCAGATTAGATATCATATCTGAAGGAATTAGTGAACTACAAAAGAATCAAACTACAACTATGGCAAAAAATTGCACAACGCAAGAGGAAACTCATGGATCTTTCTCTTAGAACCTACAGGTCCTGATCAAACAGAAATTCAAAGGGAGTGGTTACACCATCCAGGCTGATGGAGAGTAATCTTGCAGGTTCAGCTACATACAATCCAGTGGGAACTCAATGCACCTGCGTAGTTCAAGGGCCAACTAAATGATCTGATGTCCCAGCTTAGGATGTAGAATCATTTCAGAGGAGTTAAATCTGAAATAAGATATTACATAGATCCAGATCTATCATGAGAAATCAAGCAGCATTTGAAACAACAACAGGAAGGCCTTAGCCACTTGATTTCTATCATAAAAGATGATCTAGAAGATATAAAGTTGGAGAACATGGATTGAGTGAAACCATCTACTACAGAGGCAGTGACTTTAGTTGACAATTTATAAACTTGAGTTAGAGGGATTTGTAAAGTGCATTCCCTTACTGTATCAGGCCTTCCTTAAGATGACCACATGGAGAAAAAACAAAGGATCCCCTCCTGGCTGGGATTTTTGATGTTACTGACAAATTGCTGCTCATCAAATGTGAAGTGGTCACCTCATTTTCTTTCTTTCTTTCTTCGTTTTGCTTTTCTTTTGTTATTCTTGTTTGAAGGTTATCTTTAAAGAATTATGAGGTACAGAGTGCTGGTGGCTCATGCCTGTAATCCTAGCTACTTAGGAGGCAGAGATCAGGAGGATCACTATTCAATGCCAGCTCAGGCAAATAGTTTGTGAGACCCCATCTTGAAAAGTCCCATCACAAAATAGGGCTGGTGGAGTGGCTCAAGGTGAAGGCCCTGAGTTCAAGCCCTAGTACCTCAAAAATAAATAAATAAATAAATAAATAAATAATATCCAACCCAAAACAGGCTGATGGAGTGGCTTAAACGGTTAGAGTACTGCCCGGGAAGTGCGAGGCCCTAAATTCAAGCCAAGCCACAGACACTGATGCTAAACACAAGGGCTTTCCTCTTGGAAGAAGGCATTTTCAGCAATGTCACTTACAATCGATTGTATTAAATATTCCCAACTGAGTTTCAGACTCAACAAGTGATGAATAACAAGTACACAACTCATTTGTATAATATTCAAAGCTGACTACAAATAAAATTTACATATGATTAAAACAAGCCAATGTTTAAAGAGGTTTTTTTTGTTTGTTTTTTTGGTACTGGGATTTGATCTCATGGTCTATACCTTCAGCCACTCCACAAGTCATGGGTTTTTT